CCGGCCCCGCCCCGCCCCCGGCCGGGCCTCCTCCCGGCCACTGTTGGGCCGCAGGCTGGACGCCCCGGGCGGCGCGCGGAGGAGGAAGCGCGCCCAGACCGTGGTCCAGGAACTTCCCAGACGCCCGAGTAGCAGGCGCCCGCGGCGGGGTCCGCCCGTGCGTCCCCATTTTCCAGGTGTGATTGGAGGGGGCGCGTTCCCGGCGGTGGCCATTGTGCGCAGGCCGGGCATTTCCTCCCGGCCTCCGCTCCCGCGTCCTGCCGCGGAGCGGACAGTGAACCCGGCTCCTCAGCGTCCGCCCGACTTTGCCGCCGCACCCCCGGCCCTCCCTCCGCGCCCGCCAGCCCCGCCGGTCCGCGGGCTGATGTCCTGAGCCCGCCTCCCGCGGGCGCCGCGCGCTGGACCCGGGCTGCGCTGGGGAGCTGAGGGGAGGCGGCCGGGTATGCGCCAGCACCATGTCCCGGCTGGGCTCGTGGCTAGGTGAGGTTCAGTGGCTCATCCTGGTGTTGCTCTTCGTCGCGGCCCTGGGCACGGTGGGCCTGTACCTGGCGCAATGGGCGCTGGCCAGGGCGCGACCCCGGCCCCAACGGCGGACAGAGGAACCTGGCGAGGGGCAGCGCCCCGAAACGGACGCCCTGCTGACCTGGATCCTGACGCTAAACAGCTGGCGGAGCCAGTGGCAAGCGGCCTGGGTGATGGCTCTGAACGAGGAGGCCAAAAAGAAAGGGGTGAGTTCCTGCGAGAACGGCGGTGCGCTGGGTTCCGAAGCGCTGCTGGCGGGGTGCAGGCGTAGGGCCAGAGCTCTTCCCTGGAGCCGTGGCTCACCGGCCCTTGACTGAATCCGAAGTGAGCCTCGCCCGTGACAGAGCATCTCTGAAAGTTAGGAGAAAGATCTGGGAAGCGGAGAACCGTTGGTGATTCTAATGTATTCACCAAGCATCAGAGTGATCAGGCCCCGCTCCACCAGGGGACAGACGTTGTTGGAGGGACTTGGCAGAGGGGCCGATTCCGGTCCCAGCTCGTACCTGCCCTTCCTGAGTCCCACGTGGATTCCGGCGCCCGGAATTTAACAGATTTTGCAGTTGATATACGAATAACTATGACCCAAATATGCTTCTGCCTCTACGGAGCTTATCATCACCAGAAATTTATTCCCCTTAAGACTTGCATTTCTGGCATATACAAATAGTGACTGTGTTGAGGGCTGGTCATTTGCTAGAGTTGTATTGGGGGTTTTAGGTGTCTATATCATCTCTTCGAATCTTCACAATTTCTGGGACATCGCTGTGGGCACCATTTTCCATATGAGGAAACTGAGGCCTGATGAGGTTAAGCAACCTGCCCAGGGTGTCAGCCTGTGGGTGGCAGAGCTGGGATTTGAGTCCTGGTGAGTCTGACTCATCTCAAAGCACAGGGACCTAGTCTTTAGCGCTCGAGCCACGCTCCTGTGCTTATATTTCTTTCATCCTTAATTACTTGGTGGTTTATTTTTACTTTTAAGACATCTTCCTTTAATAAGTTCTTGGCGTCTGCTATTTTTAGGCACTCCACTGGAAACCCTGGTGGTGTAGTGGTTAAGTGCTATGGCTGCTAAGCGGAAGGTCGGCAGTTCAAATCCACAGGCACTCCTCGGAAACCGTACGGGGCAGTTCTACCCTGCCCTGTAGGGTTGCGATGAGTTGGAATTCACTCCATGGCAATGGGTTTGGTTTTTATAGGAGGGATTAAGGACTGTTGTGTTTAGGGAAGCACCTCCCCGTCTTGGCTGGTCCTTGGTGTTTTCAAGATTACATGTTCCTGCACCTGCTGGTGTACCTCAGTGGAGAAACCTGTGGCTGTTGGTTTTGGAAATAGCGAATGCTGAGTGTCTGGATCCACCAGCCTTCAAAGTCTCCCCCAGTGGGTCCTTTGCCTGGCCTTTGTCCCTTGACCGTGGCACAGACACATGTCACCATCAGTTTTGAGAGGCTGGATGACTGTGGTTTTCAAAAAACAGCAAAGCTTCTAGTACAAATTCGCGGAAAGTCAACAATTCCAAAGCTCTTGTTCTGAACTCTTGAATAAATAAGTGTATTCTTGGGATGACAAGAGGCTTCAAGGTCAGTAGACTGACTTCCGTCCTGGTGCCTAGAATCTTGTGTTCCGGATGTCCTGAGCCAGACATTTCCTCCCAGGAGAAACTGCCCATCTCTTGTGGGAGCCCTAAAGCTACATGTCCTCACACACATAAGTACAGATTTTTGTTTTGTCACGGAGCTGCTGTCACTGACCCCTAAGTTACTGGATGTCCCAGACCTGGGTTCTGGCACTGAGTCCGCTGCTGGCTGGTTGTGTGAGCAGGTGCGAGAGAGCGAGTGTTGGGTGAATGGTCTGTAGGATCCTTTCAGTTCTAGCATGGAGACCCCTGACGGCATTTCAGGCTCAGACGTGGTGACCCAAAACCAAAAAAACCCAGTTGCTGTCAAGTTGATTCTGATTCCTGGTGACCCTGTGTGTGTCAGGGTAGAACTGTGCTCCACAGGGTTTTCAAGGCTGCAACCTTTTGCAAGTAGATCACCAGGCCTTTCTTCAGAGGCACGTCTGGATGGGTTCGAATTGCCAACCTTCCAGTTCATAGTGGGGCGTTTGCACTGCCCAGGGGTTCTGTGGTGACCCTACAGCCTGTAAATTCAGGGTGGTCCTGATTTAAATGATCCTACTTCATGTCCTGACACTTCCTGATTGGGTTCAGAAAACATGATCGCCTTAGGTGTGACTCTTGCGGACGATCCATATACCTGGGGTGTTGCGAGAGAAGGGAGGAATCCCCTGCTCTGGCATTTGTCTTTGGTCGAGTAATGCTGAGGACAATATCTGAAGGTTCCAGATGAAAACCTTTTACCCTAGAAAAGATTTTAACCACAATGAGAGGAGGCAGGGCTTGGTCGTCAAGGAACGGAAGAGACAGATTTGGTTAGTTTGTGTTTTCTCTACCTGCCAGAGACTTGCAGACCCTAAAACATTCCATTTTTCCAGGCTCCTTCCTGGAAGTAGCAATAACATACCTGCGGTCAAGGCCAGAAGCAGGCCCGAGCTTCCTCTGACGGGTCTGAGTGGAGGCGGGCTGGTTCTGCAATGCTGGTCTTATGGTATTTTCCCATCAGACGCAGCCCTGGTGCCTGGGAGTGTTGTGTGATATAGTAATTCAAGTGTAAGGTTTTGCAAGCTGTTGAGATCTGTCAACTCGCTACAGCTGACTTGTCACACACCCTCCCTTGACCACATGGGTGAGCAGGCACTGGTATTTGTGTCTGTGGGTGTCCTGACCTCGGCCACCTCCCCTGCAAGACTTTTTGCCCGCCTCCCCCTACAACTGGATCCTCATTAATCCCTGCTTGTGGCTCAGAGACCCATAGTTCCGTGCCCCGAACCCTCCCTGTCCTGCTGTTGCGGTGCCCTGGCCAGGGAGGAAACCAGTTCTTGGCGTGTCACTTGGGGTCCAGAATTATTGTTGTTAGTTGCTGTCACGTCCTCTGACTCATGGTGACCTTATGCATAACAAAGCGGAACATTGCCTGATCCTGCATCATCTTCACAATCGGTGGCACGTTTGAGCCCATTGTAGGGGTTCATCTTCCAGCATGCCTGGATTGTGTCTTCTGAACCCAATCAGGAAATGTCAGGACATGAGGCAGGATCATTTAAATCAGGACCACCCTGAATTTAAAGGCTATAGTGATCAGTGTTCTGTTGTTATCCATAAGGTTTTCATTGGTTAATTTTCAGAAGCAGATCGCCAGGCCTTTCTTCCTAGTCTAAGTCTGGAAGTTCTGCTGAAACCTGTCCACCATGGGTTACCCTGCTGGTATTTGAAATACTGGTGGCATAGTTTCCAGCATCACAGCAACACACAAGCCAGTACAGTACAACAAACTGACAGATGGGTGATGGGGACTGGGGAGACACTGGTAAATACGTGCTCATATCCAGCAACTTCCATGAAAGGTGTAATTTTCTTTCAAATGGAAGTAGTAGGTCTGCCCACTCGAAAAGTTTTAAGTCGCCTGGGTAGCGCAAGTGGTTTGTGATCAGTTGCTAACAGACAGACTGGTGGTTGAAGCCACCCAGTGGCTCTGCAGAAGGGAGGCCTGGCAATTCGCTTCCGTAAAGATTACAGCCAATCACACCGTATGGATCAGTTCTACTCTGTCACACACAGGGTAGGAATGAGTCAGGAGCTAACTCAGCAGCAGCTAACAACAACAATTCTAAGTTTTAATCCAGCTTTGGGTTTTAAGCCTAAAAGAAGCCCCAAACCCTTCCAGCATGGCCCCTTACTTCTCCAAAAGGGGAGACTGAAGTCCATGAGCTGAAGGGGCTTGCTGAGGTGGCCGAGACCCTGGCCTAGGGCTGCCCCTGTCCATCCAGGGCTGCAGCCACATTGCCCTTGGGACACAATGCTGCCTTTAGATGCAGCCTAGCAAGAAGGGAAGAAACGGGCATGATTGTTTCAGGTAGCATCCCAACAATGGGGCTCTGATCTCCTAGGGTCTGGGGCTTGGTAAATGAGCGTCCTTTGTCCCTTAATGGGCAGGCACTGTGGCTGCACAGGCTTCCTCTCTCAGAGGGGCGCTGGATTCTGACCCTCACTCCACAAATACCTTCACAGTATAAAGGATGTTGAGCTAGAGAGACCCTCAAGGATGCCATCACTGACTACCAGTGGCCGGGTGAACACCGGGTGTGGGGGGAGCCACAGGCCTCTCACACCCCAACCCCAATTCAGACTTAGTAGGGGGACATGCTGTATTCTCACCAGTGAGACGGAGTGGTAGAAACCTTTGTTCTCTAAGCCATCCCCTGAGAGCGTACCCCCTTCACCGCCAGCACCTTAAAGTGGTGGCTGTCACCTTGTGTCTCACACCTCCACTCTGTCTGGCGTTGGAACCACCTGATCTCATTGTACCCCGAGCACAGAAAAATCCCCGCACAGGCTCAATTGCTGCTCCAGCTACTTAAGACTACGAACTTTGTTACTGTTGTCTTGTGCTGTCGAGCTGACTTCTGACTCATGGCAACCCCGCGTGTTACGGAGTAGAACTGCTCCATAGGATTTTCTTGACTGTAATCTTTCCGGAAGATCACCAGGCCTTTTATTCCGCGGTGCCTCTAGGTCGGTTCTAACCACCAGCCTTTCGGTTACCACTGAGAACTAACATTGCATTATCCAAAGGGAGCAGCTGAAGATTTCCTTTCATTCCCCTGTGTGGGCATTAACGTTTACAGAATGATCTGCAGTTCAGTTGGTTATACCGGGGGGGTCCACACACCCTCTGGCTCCCACCTGGGGTGCTCCATGATTGCTGTGTCCATACTCGCACCCACTCTGTAACCGGGCGACCCCCACGAGTGGGCTTGGCCACGCTTCCTGTCTTAGCTGATGCTGCCTGGACCCTGAGTCGGGAGCGTTGGTGGTTTCGCCAACTCTCTGGGTGGGTTTAGCAGCGAGCAGTGCAAGCTGGCCAAGGCCCTGGATTAGGAGGTTCACCACGGCTGTTTGTTTCTTTAGTCCTTTGGCTCAGAAATGTTCTAAATGCAAATGACCAAGGCCGTGGGACAATTTGTGGTCTTCGTAAAAACAAAGATGCTGTGTAAATTCAGAGCATGTTATTAATAGCTCTGACTTGTACGTGAGCTTCTGCAATTTAAAAAGTAAACACAAGGACAAGAATTCAGTCTTTGTATTATG